TAATAAGGGAGATTGCAAATTTGGCACAAGGTGCACATATTCGCTTACATGTCTTATTTGTCATAAGCCACACCCCAAGGTATCACACGTGGCACAAACAAATGATTCTACAAAAAACGACAGTCCTTCCCAGATGTAAGTGTACTTCAACCACCACTCCACGCCTCGGCCTTGATTTATGATGCCTGGGTTCAAGAAATAGTTGATAATGATAAGCTTTTTATTCTGGATTGAGTAACAAATGGATTTAGCATAATTAATAAAGACCAGACTTTGAAGTCTGTGGAGTGTAATAATTACATGTCATTCTAGCAAGTGTGAGGTGGGGAAAAAAGAGATACTTACAGAAGTGAGGGAGGGTCGTTATGTTGCAACCACTAAGAAACCTAAAAATATAAGTGCTTTGGGTGCTATCCCAAAGCCTAAAAAGTTTGAAGTTAGACTTATTCACGACTACAGCCAGCCCAAAGGTACAGCAGTCAATGACTATGCTGATAGCCCATCATTTTCCTACCAGTCCTTGCATGATGCGGTGAAACTCATTCAACCTGGTTCATACATGGCCAAAGTAGACTTAAAATCTGCATACCAATCTGTGTGCATACATCCATCTAATTTTGAAGCAACAGGTATAAAATGGGCTTTCTCAGGCAGCACAAAACCTACTTACCTGTATGATACCAGATTATCTTTTGGAGCAAAGTGTGCTCCTATGATATTCCACCGCATTACGCAATCAGTTCGGAGAATGATGCAAAGCAAGGGTGTTGAGGGCCTTGTAGTATATTTAGATGATTTTATAATTGTAGCAGACACGTATCATGACTACAGGCTTGCACTCAACACACTTTTGACACTATTACACAAACTTGGGTTTGCTATTGCATGGCATAAAGTTGAAGGTCCTTGCCGCAAAATTGTATTTCTAGGAATACAAATAGATAGCTATAACCTTACGTTATCCCTACCAGAGAATAAAAAGCACGAACTGCATGATTTGCTTATATCATTCTGCTGTCATGAATTTGTTTTTGCGTATCTGTTGACTGACTTAATTAGCTGATTATTAGCGAATTGCTGTGTTATGTCTGTCATCGTTTAGGCCTATTTGAAGTTTTGGACGGAACTTGGCTCAGTGATTTGGAACTAATTACGAGATAACCGTCGCTATTCAGACTACTAATTCTGACAGTTGGTATCCGTAGTTATTAATGTAGTGAACGATTAATCAAAAGATATGACGTCTTCAGTACTTAGTGTGATTGGCTTTATGATTGAAAGTTACGCCCTAGAGTCTTTTTACTGCTTTGTAATTGGTTAATGTTTTGAAAATGAATAAAGTTGTTTTTTGTTGGTCTTGGCTAGCACACAGAGAACAGACGCAGTCCTGGAGAGACTTGGGGCGAACCTTGACGCAGTCTAAAAGAGTCTTGGGTCAGCCTTGCGATAGTCTTGTGGATTTTTTTCCCCAGGGCGCTGTGTCTTATAGAGTGCTCGATTGACCGACTAAGACGAGAGTTGAAATGTATTTCGTTGTGTGTGTCTTATTTGACTGTAAAGCTTAAGTGACTTCCCCGATCCCGTACCTCAAGGGGACGCGATAGAGAGACGAGACGAGATTCCCCCCTGGCAAGTGTGGAGAACCCCGTGGAGAAGAAATTACCCCCTGATACCGCACTTAAGCATGTGCATCCCGTCGCCAGCTACAATCACTAGCAGGTAAACTAAATTGGGCTTGCCAGGTAATACAGGGAGGTAGAACTTTCCTCCGCCGAATCCTGGACAGCATCAACTTGCTAAAACAACCAACACATAAAGTTATTTTAAATCATGATTTTTGTGCAGACCTAGAATGGTGGATTCACTTTTTGCCAGTGTTTAACGGCACTGCTAAATTTCTGAAGGACAACCCTATCACTGATATACATACAGATGCTTGCAAGTATGCAGCTGGGGCCTTCTTTAGAAATGATTGTTTATATTATCGCTGGTCTGAGTGGCCAGCTGCTGAGAACTTGCACATCAACTATAAAGAAACACTATCTATCTTGTTAGCGGTCTTACGATGGGCCCCCTTCTGGGCTAACCACAGTGTAATTCTACACACAGACAGTATGTTAGCCAAGGCTATTATAAGAAAGGGTAGCTGCAAACATCCCATAGTAATGGCTGCACTACGGTCGTTGTTCTGGATTTCAACCAGTTACAATTTCAGAATAATGGCAGTCCATGTGCCAGGCAAACAAAACAATATAGGAGATGCCATTTCACAGCTACATCAACCAGGCCAACTCTCGCGCTTACATGCTCTCTTACACCCAAATGCAAACATACAGCCAGCTGTTACATTACAAACATTCCCCTATCATATGTCTAATTCCACATTGCTCTCCATTCACAGATCATAAAATTGAAAAGCTAGAGGAACAGCTTGACACGGAGATCAGCATGTACAGGGGGAATGCATATGCAGCTAGTACCAAACGATCATACACCACACATTGGAAATCATACATAACAGTTTGTGTTATGCTGGGGTATCCACCGCCGCCTTAAGTATTCATCAATAAAACAGTACCTAAATATCATTCGCATTTTGCATGCAGAATATGGGTTTGCAAACCCTTTACAAGAGAACTGGTTTATAACAGTGTTGTTGAAAGACACTGCTAAAACAATAGATACCCATGTAAATAGGAAGCTTCCTCTCACACCCACTTTGTTGCTTGGTATTCGTAACCAATTAAACTTAGGATACAGTTTTTTGGGCAGTATGCCTCGTTGGTTTCTTTGGCCTATTACGCAAGTCTAATATTATGGCTCCTACAATTGGCAAATTTGATCCAGAGAAACATTTAACACGTCAATCATTTAATATTAGCCAGTGGGGCATTACGATTACAATTTCATGGACTAAAACCATCCAAACTAGGGATAGAACCTTAGAGGTACCTCTACCATATATACCATATCTCTGCCCTGTCACTGCAGTACTGAAAGCATTTCAACAGTCTCGATGGGCACCTGTAACAGGCCCAGCCTTTGTCATTCCGACAGGTAGCAATACATTTCGACCTTTGCTGCCAACACAGTTTAACTCAAAATTAAAACACTTTTTGCATAACCTCAATGTGCCTACCAATGAGTACTCTTCTCATAGTCTGCGACGAGGAGGAGCTTCCTGGCCATAAATGTGGCATTCCAAGGATACTGTTAAACTAATGGGTGACTGGAAAAGCGATGCTTACCTGAAGTACCTCTACCTTTTAAGGTAAACTCTATGTTACAGTGTACAAAACTACTACCTTCCTACTACTCCTGAATTGGGTTTGGGAGTATTCATTCCTACCATTAGGGTAGGGGGAAGAGTTGAATAAAGTCACCCCTAGGATAGTTTAAATCCCAACCTTGTGTTGTTCTATATGCTGTTGGTGAGTGTGGAGGATTAAGTGCGTTAAATGAGTCAAAATATAGTATGTGCATAGAGAATGACATTGGGCAACTAGTTTGATGATCTTCAGTAGTTTGAACTAAAACGAACTGAGTGAGAAGCAATACAAAATTTCAAAACAAGATAACCATTGGACCAATCGCCATTTTGAAGTCAGGTGCACCAATTTCAGGCTTCTAACTTGAGCCATATTCGCAAATGCTTCGACGAGCAAAAGTTCACAGAGGTAGAAAGAAAAGAACATAATACAAATAATAATAGGGACCTAGCCCTTCAGGTTTATGCTCCTAACGACCAAATTTCAAGCATTTATCACAAAAATTATACCCACCATACGAGTTACGTTTTGGTTCTTATTTACCCTTTCGGATACGCATGTGCATAACAATAGGATCGATCAGTTGAGTCCGAAGATGGCACTTTGTAGCGAATTGTAGAGGTGTGCAATTAAATTATTAGGAATCAATTCC